TTGTGCCGATTTATCCAAGTATCTTTTAACGCTTCCAAGCGTTTGACGAATTCCTCCCTTGAGCTGCTTTCAACTAAACTTTTTTTACTTGAAGCTTCGTTTCGTTGCCCAAATATGTCGGACATATATTGCTGGCTGTCTGACCCACGAATTCTGAGCTCTCTCAATTTTGATGTGATCGTGTCTTCCATGTGCATATCGCAGAGTAAATGCAACGCGAAAGGGAAGCAGCTTTCAAATGCTTGAGAAAGAGCAATTTCTCCATCAGTTCCAAAAGCTAATACCCCCCGAAGGTCTGGGTCGAGTCTGATCATAGTGGATGGCAGGGAATGGTAAGATGAGAAAAGCTTGCGTTGATGCAGAAGGATTGGGCCAAGCATTACCGGGTGTATACCAGCTTTTGTTTTTAGCATCAAGTCACGATAGGTTGTCAGGCAAACGTAAAACTCACCAATATTGAAAGTAACGTCTACTCCTAGAACAGAAAACCGAGATGGATTCGTGCAGAAGCGTTTAACTTCTGCAAGCTGATAGTTAGTGGCCAAGACGACCAATAATTCGGGGGCAGAGCTGATTTCACGGATGAAAACTAACTTAGGATCTCGTTGCTCCATTTTACATTTATCCATGACGGCAACAAGAGGGTCTGGACAAGAGGAAGATACTCGATTTGCTTTCTCTTTAACTCCTCGCCTAAAGTTTGCTGCTTGTTGTCTATCCCTAGCGAATTCTCCAGCAGAGCTAATATTTTCAATCCCTCCTTTTTCTTCTAAAAGGAGATCGACTGCTGCTTTTGGCGTACTTGTCTGAACCAGCTGTTTCAAGCGCGTCTTCGTGCTAGCCTCGGATGGTTTAAATGGACGAGTGGAAACAGACGCGTTCCCATGTGGTTGAGGTTTTATTTTCTTTTCTCCACTGGTAAACTGATATTGCAGGTAGCAATAATGGTGCGGCGACCCATCACGATCTGTTTTGCAAAAAAAAAAAAGAGTTAGAATTAATACTTCACTACTTAAATTCAATGCAATAATGCGACGTTTGTGCGCATATCCAGATAAACGTTGTTGTTCGATAATATCTCGTTCGACAAGCTGGTTCCCAACCGTTAGGCTTATTTGTCTAACATCTCTATAATGAAGGCCTATTCACGTTTATCACGATTTTTTTCCCAATAGGCCTATCCAAGGTTTCTGCCGCCATATTGCAGGGGGTGCAAAAACATTGGGGCAAGCGCGCGCCCACCAATGGCCCCCATACTATTTCCTATTGAGTGAGTGAAAATTACCTTTTGACATTTTGTCCTTTTTCTCAAAAAAATTCTATACAAGCATATCCAATTTTTACTTTCGGATAATCGCTGGGGTTTTTCTGATATGTGGCTGAGATTTCTTACTAATCGAAGCGGGACAGGAAGTAATAAAAAACGGCGGCTTTTGCTGCACACCTTGACCGACGTTTGAGCGATGATTCTTGTACAAATATACAAATATAAACAGTAATAATGGCGGACACCAAAGGACTCACACACTTAATGGACAAATATTCTTCCAAAGATCGGTTAAACAAACGAAATAACAAGAATCATCGCTCAAACGTCGGTCAAGGTGTGCAACAAAAGCCGCCGTTTTTTATTACTTCCTGTTCTTCGATTAGTAAGAAATCTCAGCCACATATCAGAAAAAACCCAGCGATTATCCAAAAATAAAAATTGGATATGCTTGTATAGAATTTTTTTGAGAAAAAGGACAAAATGTCAAAAGGTAATTTTCACTCACTCAATAGGAAATAGTATGGGCGCCATTGGTGGCCGCGCGCTCGCCCCAATGTTTTTGCACCCCCTGCAATATGGCGGCAGAAACCTTGGAAAGGCCTATTGGCTGCAATACTTGACATCTATGGAATATTTAGAACTTGGTTTTGACAATGTCAGAGTTGCCATGGCAACATCACGACACTATTTGTGATTAAAATTTGAAGATAGGTCACCCATGCATGAAACTAAAGCGTAAAACGCAAATACGGATAAAAATATGGTCATCCAGTAAACGGAATTTTCTTATATAAAAACGTTGCGGAGTAGTGAATAATAGTTTGCAGGCGCAAGATGTGAAAGATGGAGTCCCAAAAGCCGAAAAGGTGTTTTCATTTTTTGATTTTGACGTTTATTCCGGCAATATGTTTGAGAGCCATGGGCAGCCAAGAAATATTGTGAGTTTAGATCGACTTACGTCTAAAACGTCTTAGATTGAAATCAATTGAATCCTTCGATTTACTTGGTTTGTCCGGAAATAGGAAACCGGAAGTAATGGATAAATACGTCACATCGCGTTTGTTTACATATTTTCAGACACTTTATATTTTTGGGTCGAAGACAGGGCGTGTATTTAAAACTACTGAGAAAAACTAATAAGCTATATCTATGTGATTTATTTTGGGATACTATTCTTTTGGAGGCCAAGAAATCCCGAATAGGTTCACGAGCTTTAGCAGCCGTATAAAATTGTGCTGGATATTTTTACTGTTTATTTTTACTGGTGAATTAGAGAAAAGCTAACGTAGTCATACTGCATGATTTTTACGAGCGTACTTTTTATCACGGTCAAATTCTTCTTTACGTCTTGTTCCACCTTATGTTTGAAAAATCGTCTCTCAATCTTGAAAATATCATCGTCGTTTCCATAATTGTTTGCATTCGTCATGATAAACCTGGAATTGTCTTGTATGCAATATGCTGTTTTTGTTCCAGTACTGGTCCAAACACCTAAGCTGTCTGCTAAAACATCTTTGACGTCTTTAAAGTGTCTGATATCAAGAACAAAGGCCACACTTCTTGAAACTGCGACTGGTTTCTCGGTTGCTACTTTCTGCGATGTAGCAAGGTCTGGACTCAACAATATATTTACGATTTCATCAACATCCAGTCCACGATTTCTACCTGAGTAATAAATTGGAAGCGCTGCATTGTCGTCGTAATACTTGATATGGTCATCGTCATCTGAACTATTACTTGAAGCAAGCTCCTCGGAATTATAACTTTAACGAAAAATGAAAAAGGGAGAAACAGTTTAAAAAGAATAAAAGAGATTGTTTCTGGCTCTTCTCAGGTCTTCATTTAATTTAAACGAAAAATTTGTCGTACACGCAACATTTAAAACAAACCTCATGTACTGAAGTACTTTTGTCTTATTATCTTCGCTGTGTCTTGGCCTTAACACGAACGTAAGGGAAAAACTGGTTACAAGAAATATACTGATAACAAAAACACATGCTTAGAATGGTTAACAAATAATAATCACAAACCCCATAATAATGCATAGCTCAAAATATTAGCCTTTTCTCACCTTTTAACAGGACTATTCTCTGGGGAAGAGAGCACATGAATAATTTCTTGCAAGTCACCTTCAACGCTAAAGAGGGAATCGTCACGTATCGATTTCGTCCACGAGAAACGTCATATGGACGTGGGGGGCAGGCTTTCATGAAGTACGTAACTTTTGGCAAAAATAATAGTATCATGAGATCAGCATTGATCACCAATGTGATATTGATATATATAGAAGATATAGAAATTTATTGTCTAAATGTTTTCTTGTTGCAAGACTAGTTTATATTATTTATATACAAACTATGAAATGTAGTGTGTAGAGTTCACTGCCTAAGATAAGATACAAAACTTTAAAAGCTGGAAGTTTTACTGGCTATTTTTATCTGTGGCAGTGGTGTATCTCACACTGAACTAATTAAAATTCGACACAAAAGCTTTCGTTTAGCGCCTGCCTTAGGTGTGGACCATTAGAAAAGTGATGGGGGGGGGAGCAAAAAATCGCGCAGGGTCCGGGAAACAGAATGAAAAAAAAACTTTGTACCCCATGAATGTTTGAAAAAAATATCGACACATGCAAAACATTTAAAAAAAATATTCGTACAAGTTAAAAAAATACGACCCTCCCCTCCCCCCTCCATCACTTTGCTAATGGTCTGCCTTTTGGGCTGTGTTTACAATGTATTTTGTCTGAGTCAATTTTAGCTTTTCATAAATGTTTTCAGCCATAGTGAACACGAAAACGCTCATAGTCATATACTTTTTAAAAATATGAGTGTAGTGTAGGGTAGTATTAATATACGTGACAAATAGTTGCTAGACTACCTGAAGCACATAGTCATAGACTAGATTTTTGCCCTCTCAGACACAACTGAATAGGTGTGTAAATTTCCGTTCGAATATTCCTGTCCATCTACTAGCACTTTATAACTTAAGCACTTACATAGTGATATGTAGGAATAGCCAAAGAATGTCTTTCAAAAATAACATTAACAAAACGTTACTGTAACGGAGTAAACAATTACACAATACAGTACAGTACTAGTATAAACTATTATGCAAAGATGAACAACAGATACATAATACAACAGGCGCAATAATAATCGCTTCTAGTTCATAATTTCTCAATATTTTGTATTGCCGAGATACTTTTGTCACAACTGTTTCTTTAAATGTAATATCTATATGATAAAGAAGAAGTTCTGCAGTATAAACTATAATAATTATTATTAAAGTAGTATACATACTATGTCTAGTACAAATTATAAAATAAAATTTAGATAATCCAAAATATTAGATAATCCTGCTATCCGGCAGACTACTGTATATCTATGAAATTGCACTGTACAACTGATGGTATTTTTACCTTGCCGTCTTATCGCCAGCCTCACTTGAGTCCGAACTGCTATCGATATTATAAACGAAACCAGTAGCCATGATAATTGCGAATATATATAAAGCCGGAGATGCTTGCGGAGGAGGCTAATAATTAAAGCCCAGTTATGGGTGAGAAGTGCTTGTATATTATATGCACGCGCAGGCAGTGTAGCGCGCTTTTAATATAATTATACGAAAATTTTAAAAATAAAAAAATTTCAAAATCGAAAGTCCAAAGTCCAAAGTCCAAAGTCCAAAGTCCATAGTCCAAAGTCCAAAGTCCAGTCCAAAGTCCAGTCCAGTGTTTACAATATGCCCTTTAATTTTCGCATGAATAACCTCACGCGACAGCTTGTCGAAATCTAAAATAGATTTTGCCTCTGACAATGCATGGCAATAGAATAACAGACGAACTAAGAAAAATAAACCTCATCCACAATAAATTTAAATGTTGTCAAAATAAATTATACACCTTTGCAAAAGGTTTGTAAATCCATGAGCAAGCTTTCATTGGTGAGGAAGCAACGACCTGAAGCATACAAGGAGAATTTTGACGTTTTGAGCGAAGAGGCTCTTCGCTCGAAACGTCGAAATTCTCCTACATATTTCAGGTTATTGCATCCCCACGAACGAAAGCTTGCTCCTACATTATTGGCACTGCCTATATTGGCACAGACATGCAGTTCAAAATTTTGTTCATTCATGTAATTTTTAGCTGACGTCGAAATTATCTAAGCCTATTCTTAAACCAATACTATAGGACTATACACAAACTACAAAGCTATACTCACCAAAGACCAAAGGCTGTTTTAAACATTTGCATTAAGGTCCACATAACAGCTTTAATTCCAAAATTTCATCACAACTCTGTTGTCGTCATGCTGAGTAAACATTAAAAAAATTTGCCTAAAGGCATCAGCAAGAATGTTAATTACGTTCTGGCATGTGTACAACGAATATTTGACACCACAAGAAACCGAGAACGTCAATCGGACACTGTCAACAAAGCGTCTTTCTTCGGATACTATTCTGTAATTGTGATTTCAAGTGCACGGAGATAAAACCATTCCCGCTATATTTTAATATCCCCAAATAATAAAACTACTGGAGCTAAAATGTTCATTGTATAAGTAAGAGTTAATTACCGAGAAGGAGGGCTTTATGCTATATACAGCCCCGAGAACGCGAAGCGTTCGAGGGCTTTATATAGCATAAAGCCCGACATTCGAGGTAATTAACTGACTTATTTCATGATTGAAGAGGTTTTCTAACAAAGTTTTATTCTTTTTTTTTCGATTTCGGCAAGTATTTTTCTAGTTTTCTCGCTTATTTCTTGACTAATTAGGGCTGTATGGTATTCAAGGGCATTATGCTATATACAGCCCGCGGTACATCAAAGAAAATCGAGTCAATCATGAAATAATTAAATTTACAAAACTGAAATTCATATGGGTATACCAGTACGGGATAAAATGCATTTACAGTATGGAACAATTTGTATTTAAACAAGCCCTATTATGACAAGTCTTTTATACTAAGTGTTTCATGTGCTTTGATATAATCTTTATCAGTACATATATCTCAAATGTGTTGCCTACCTACAAACTGTGTGGGGTATTTATTTTTAATAAACATATGACTGATGTTGACCGGCTGCGTGGTAAAACTGCCTTTGAACTCACAAACTTCACAAATTGCCTTTCAATTGCAATAGCCAAGATTTTATTGTCGGCGTCGTTATGAGCCGTGAGAAATAATACAAACTAGGCTATGTAGTACTTGTGTCGCAGGAATATGCCCCTTCCCTAAAATTTAGCCGAAACCTCGCCTTTCCTTTAGGAATGTCGTCCTCTATAACAAGTACGATCGTACTATAGTGGACCAGGAACTGCGTGACCCAGTTTCGATCTTGTGCAAATCGTTAAACGTTCAAAACCTTCGAGATTTTGACTTGATAAACAAACAACTAGACACTTGTGAAACTAATGTTCTCGAAGTTTGCAACGTAGACTGGAAGCACCGAAGCAAGATGGTGGTCACAAAATTTGCTCCTGTGAATTTTGCTATTTTTTTGTTGGATACTTGTCTATAAATGCATTTTTGTGCTTTATATCTATGTATTTGTTACGAAAGTATATTTAAATAGTATAAAAATAGTTCAGTTTGCACTCCAGGTAATTATAGATACTAGTTACGTCAAATGGAGAGTTAATGAGCATTTTTGCTGTAAAACGCAGATAAAGTATATATCATTTCGGACTTGTGTAAAAGTGTCAATTATCTGTCCATTAGGCAAGATAAATGATTTGTCAAACTGTCAAAGTTCATGGACGATAGCCTTGCATGGTGGGCTGTTGTGTTTACATAATTCAAAGTCCAAGGCTGGTTCTTCTCTGACATGAAAATGTGCATGCTTAGGGCCTTTCTGTCAATCATTCTTCGATATATTTCGCGCGGTTGAGTAAGAATAACATTACGTCATCAAAATCTTGGTTCAATAAAATTGTAAGTAAATTTAGTTTAGTAGGTAAAGTAAGGTTCACATAGGTATAGTTTGAAGTTTTTACTATGATATTTTGATGAGTATTTTAAGTTGTGAACATGTTTTAATGATGATCGATTGAACAGCGAACCAACTCGACCAGTGCGACAACGCCTTAAATAAACAGAATTTGAGGGCTGGAACGAGCTAGCAACGCCAATTGCAACCCACACTTTTAAACCTCAACGTTGATTGGCTGGATACAAATCACACCACTTGCTACATCACGTGTGTAAAGATCCCTCCACCGTTAGTATAAAAGGGCGTGCACAACCGAAATTCGTCACTAAATTTCTCAGTGGACTATAGAGTGAAGTGAAGTGAGTGAACGTAGACTCGCTAGTGGATGAATTTTCAGTGGATGATCTTTCAGTGGACAGTGGAAACTACTGCAAGAAGACGAACATTAAGAACTGATAGTTATTAGAGATTGGTTGTAACGATTCACTGCCTATAAATAAAGCCTCGTAACATATTTACTTATAATTATGTCTACGTTAACCACTGAGCAATTTATCAAGATTCTCAACGAGACACTGGAGCAAAAATTTGAGCATAAAATCACACCTTTAAGGCAGCGTTTACACTGTACCGTTTTCGAAGCGTTCTCGTATTGTTCTTAATCTTCAAGGGAACGCAAGACAATAGTCTAGTTCTCTCGAACAATACGAGAACGCTACGAAAACGGTACAGTGTAAACGCTGCCTAAGTCGAACGATTGTCGATCTCAAAAGCAAAGTCGAGGATGTTGTGGAACATATAACATTCATAAATGCTAAGTACGATGAATTGTACTTAAAACTCGAAGCCTCTGAGTAGGAAAATAAGTCGATTATGGAAGAGAATAAGATCTTGAAAATGTCTATTCAACAACTTGAGCGTTCAGTTACCACCCTTGATCAAGCTCATAATGACCTTGAACAATATGGACGAAGGGAGTGTATTGAGATTAGCGGAATCCCTGCTCCTGGACCAGGTCAAAGTGAAAATGTAAACGCTGGTAAGCTGATTGGTGTTGGTAAGCTGATTGGTGTTGATGTTAAGCGAGAAGACATATCAGTATGCCACCGATTACCTCAGCTAAAAGGATAGAAAGGTAAAAGAAAGGAACCTCTGATTATAGTAAAATTTGTTAGGAGAGAAGTAAAAGAAAAATTTTACAGAGCAAGGGGTAAGCTACGATCGAAGACAACTAAGGATATTGGCTACTATGTTGAAAATAATATATATCTTGCTGAAAGTCTCACGGAACGAAATAAAGCTCTGTTTAGAAGCTGTTTAGACGTGAAGAGAAACAAGAACTACAAATTTATTTGGACCTCTAACGGAATCATTTACTTGAGAAAGGATGAAAATAGTGATGTTACCAAAATTAAATGCAAGGAGGATCTTCCAAAGATTTCACTTACAAATCGATAAGTACTTTTTATACACTATCTATATAATATGACAATGGTGGTGGTTTACCTAAACAGCTTGAAAAACTCAAATTTTTGTTTTGTAAAAAAATGAATACCTAAAGATGCTATTATTCTTGTAGAAATGTTTTTTTGAACAAATTTGCAATAATTTTCGTTTACCAGCTCTGTTTAGACATGTTGTCAGAATTTTTTAAAACGTTGCCATGGTTACGGAAGGTGCCATGGTCTTGTTTTACATCTTTTTTCGCCGAATTATTCCACTCTCACCCCTCCCATAGGCAAAATAGATAGCAGGCTCATTCAACTATAATATGGCAGCGGCTTCACAAAAAAACTATGCATATTTATCGTTAAAATTGAGAATTTGATCCAGACAAAAACTTGGTGAAAGAGCTCTTACAAGTGATAGCTTCCAAAACTTTGAAGCCCATTTCCCGAAACACAGTACTTTTAGCCTTTGAGAAAGGATATCTCATCACCAATTCAACCAATTGACCTGAAATTTTCTGTGCTTGTGGAGCTGATTGTGATGATGGATTTGAGCGAGGGAAATTACCATATCTTGCATTAGCAGGAAGTATGGTAAAAAATTCTACAATATTTTTCCATCGAAAATTTCCTTCATTTTCAAAGTTGCACCATGGCCAAATGAAAAGCAACATTAAAAATTTGGTCGTTTAAATCCATCACCTACTTGTGTAGATTACAAAAATAGTTGAACACAAAAAAAGTATTAAACTAGCCATGAGATATTTTTTCTCGACTAGGGGCATATTTTACGAGCGCTTGGATCAGATGTTTTTGCATCAAGCCTTGAGCAATTTTAATGTAAAGCATCTCAAAGTGCATTTTTTGGAATCTTTGTTTTACAAGCTTTCTGTTGATGTATAATATGTTAAGGTTAATAAAAATACCCATGAATTACCATGTATTCAAACACGGTCGACCATTATTTGAACAGTTTAGGTAAACCCCCACCTTATGCCATCTCAGTTGTTAACGACAGGTGTGCTGAACTCACTAACTCATATCCATATCCATATCTAAGTGATGCTGCCCCTATTAGAAATTTACAGCACCTTTCTGAGGTGGGCACAAAACACAGCAAATTCGGCCACATACAAATAACTTTCTGTCGTTAGTTTGGAATATCACGAAACTTCCTCACAGGATAGAACTTACCAGTCCTAAAAATCGTATCGATTTTGTTTTTCGATTTTGTTACATTTTGGCGGGAAAATGACGTGCCTACTTTGGCGCCAAAAATTAAACACGAGCTAAGAACAGTCTAGTAACTTTTTTGAAGAGATTGTCCTATAAGGATCTCAAAACTGTAAAAACATTAAAAATACAAAAAGGCAGTGCGAAGATATGGCGATTCAAATTTCGAAAAAAATCTATTTTTTAACAAAATGGCGGATTTTTCAGAATTTTAAGCGCCATATCTTTGTACTGCTTTGGCGTATTTTCAATGTTTTTACAGTTCTGAGATCCTTATAAGACAATCTCTTCAAAAAAGTTCCTAGCATGTTCTTAGTTCGTGTTTATTTTTTTTGCGCCAAAGTTAGCACGTCATTTTCCCGCCAAAATTTAACAAAATCGAGAAACAAAAACGTTAGGATTTTTAGGAACGGCAAGTTCTATCATGTGAGGAAGTTTCGTGATATTCCAAACTAACAACAGAAAGTTATTTGTACGGGGCCGATTTTGCTGTCTTTTGTGCCAACCGTGAATTCGATATTGATGTTGAGATACCTTAATTCAGCTAGTAATTTCAAATATTATAGCCAGAGGCGTAGCCAGGGCTGGGGCCGGGGGGCATGTCCCCCCCTGGCGAAATTTTGCCCCCCCCCTGGCAAA